AGTCTTAAAGGCCATGCCCACAGTGACACACCCACTCCAACAGGGCCACACCCTCTAATAGTGCCACTCTCTGGGCTGAGCAAATACAAACCGTCACAGTTACGAATCTTATTTTTTTTTAGATTTATTTATTTTAATTTTTTATTATTTTATGTGTATGTGTGCTTTGTTTGTCTGTCTGTCTGTGCATCCCATGTGTTCTGGTGCCTGTAAAGCCAGAAGTGGGTGTCAGATCCCCCAGAACTGCAGTTGTGAGCCGCTATGTGGGTGCTGGGAACCAAAGCCATGTCTTTAGGAAGAGCAGGGAGTATCTTTCCCGATGAGTCAAGTCACCTTTCCAACCCTGTACCTTATAAATCTTGACTTTTCTTGTCTGCATGAGTGGAAAAAAAAAAAAAAGAAAGGAAGGAAGAAGGAAATGAAAAAGGAAGGACATGATCACTCCTAGGTGTGGTAGAGGAGAAGGGTTGTTGTAGGTATGAGGGAGTGCATAGCCAAAGGCAGGGACATCTGGGAGAGTCCAGAGTGGACGTGACCCTGAGCCTGACCAGAGGAGAGAGGGGAGAGCCGGGAGAGTAGAGAGTAGAAGACAGGGGAATGGGTGAGGTAACTAAAACACTTGGGTTTTACTAGGGAAGGGAAGCCCAGCTCCTGGGCTGGAGGAGTTTAGGGTAGGGGGAGGGGTATACCAGCCATACTCTGTAACAGGTAGGGAGTGAAGGATGCTGGGAGAACATGGTAGCCAGGCCCACTTTGATATGTTAAATAGGCACTTTGTTAGGCATTTGTCCCAGGTTTGAGACCTAACACTGCAGAGTGTTACTCTGTGCTAAGTCTCAGCTTCTTCTTCTGTGAAATGAACATGTTTTCAGGAGCTGTGGAATCTCACTGGGTTTTGTCTCCAGCGCTTCATTCAGGACTTACAGCCTTCTCTAGTCTGATTAATTGTCCATTTGAGTCTGGGATCGAGGGGCCTTTCATAAAAAGTTTCTGGGGTCTGAGAAGGCCTCACTCCCATCCTGTGCCCAACTTTGGTCAAGATTTGTGTATGTGCACGTGCATGTGTGTGTTTGTGTGTTCATGTGCATGTGAATAGAGGTGCCCACAGATGCCAGAGGCACAGAGCTAGAGTACCAGGGGGTTGTGAGCTGCTGGGCTGAGTGCTGGGTCCTGTACTTGGTCGTCTGCCAGAGCAGGAGAGCACCGTCCTCCCCGCTGAGCCATCTCTGCAGCCATTTCGTAATCACTTCCTGTATTTGCTTTGGTTTTTCTCTTTGTTTGGTCCCCGGCTACCTTCTCTCACTCTTGAGCTCCTTATTTTCTGTATTTATTGAGCCAAAGGGAGACTGTGACCTTCTTCAGCATAGTCTCATCAAGTGCCTGGGCCATCCCTTCAACAGGGAAACTAACTCACTTTTGTCCCTGCCTCCTTTCCAGCTTTACTGGGGTGTGTATAGCTGACAGGTACTCTGTGTGTGTGTGTGTGTGTGTGTATTTAAGGTGTACAGCATGGGGGCTGGAGAGATGGCTAAGAGCAGTTGAATTGAGTTCTTACAGGGGATCCAGATTGGATGCCCAGAACCCACACTGAGAAGCTCACAACCATCTTTAAATTGAACTCCAGGGGATCTGATGCCCTCTTTTAGCCTCTGAGAAAGCCTGTACTCGCCTCTGCCTCCCAAACCCTGGGATTAAAGACATGTACCACCACCTTTTTTAAATAGTAATTTTCGACGGGCGGGTGGTGCACGCCTTTAATCCCAGCACTTGGGAAGCAGAGGCAGGTGGATTTCTGAGTTTGAGGCCAGCCTGGTCTACAGAGTGAGTTCCAGGACAGCCAGGGCTACACAGAGAAACCCTGTCTCAAAAAAACTAACTAACTAACTAACTAAATAAATAAATAGCTAGCATTTTTCTCCTGTGTGTGTGTGGGGTGTGTGTGTGTGTGTACATTTTCTTGCATATACAGGTGCACACATATATAGGGTGCATTAGAAGCCATACAACAACATTGCTATCACTTTTTAGATGCTGGACATCTTAGATTTTGAGACAGGGCTCCCGCTGGCCCGGAGCTCATTGATTCAGCTAGGTTGGTGAACCCCAGCAGTCCACTTGTCTTCACTCCTCCAGCACTGAGATTACAAGCACACACCATTGCATTCGAGGTTGGTTTTTAATGTGATTCTGGGGGATCAAATTCAGGTAGCTGCACTTGCGACACAGTCACCCTAACAATTGAGCACCTCCTCAGCCTTCCTGTTTTGACAACTGCTTTTGTCTTGCCTTGTTCCTGTTTGACTTGTCCACCAGTCCTGTGGCCTTTAATGTGGTTGGACTGTGGGCTGGAAGGACAATGATAAACCTTTTTTCCTTTTTCTTCTGAAGAAGTGTTTCACTACCTTCTACCCCTGCAGAAGTAAAAGCGGCAGGAAGAGCCCCTGCTTCCCTGGACCCTCCCCCTCCCCCATGACGCATGGGATGCACTTGGGAGCTGTGTATGTGACGAAGTCACACTACATGCTTGTTAGCTCTATGTTAAGTCTCTGCACTGGGGGCAGTGCCCCACTGCGTGTCCATACAGGCCTGGATAAGTACTTTGGGCCGGAATCTTTCTGGAGTACCTTGGTATTTCCCATCCCATGTAGACCTTGTCTTCCCAGAACAACCGTCTGAGTGGCTGCTCCTGGCTATGTAGAGTGGTCTGCTTGTCTATTCAAGGGAGCCGGTTTCCTGTCCCAAGCTCATCTGTCATGCAAAGTGTCTAGGGTCTGTAGGCACAAAGACCCAAGTAAGGAGGTTTCTAGTGTTCCCAGGCTTAGTGTCAGCAAGCCCTGAATTGACTGAATAGTGCCGGGAGAGGGTACAGGGAAGGGACATCCAGGGCTAGATTCCAGGCATTGTCTCCCCCTGTATTGAGCTGGCCCAGGGCCCAGGCCTACAGCTGTGTGTTGAGTCCTGGCCTTCATAGCTGTGGCAGATTTATTTTTTACTGAAGAATAGGCTGTGGCGATACCACAGAAGTCATCTATGCTCAGTAGCTGAAGGCTTGAAAGCTCCAGTGACTTAAAGGCTGATGTAGGGCTCCTCAGCAGGAGCCCAGGCCAGTGCGAGGGCGTGCAGGCCTGCCTCTTGTACAGTGACGTAGGTTAGGTGGGTGCCTTATATCTCCCACTCTCAGCCTCGTTGGCTCCTGTCTATGGGATGACATTGAAGACACATGACCTTCTCTGCTGCTCTCCCCTTGACCCAGCCTGGTGCAGCAAGTGGTGCCACCACCGGCCTTGGTCTGTCAGCGTTTGACTGTCGGGAAAAATTCTCCATATTGGCCATCTCTGAATAGCTCAAAAAATGGGACACAGGCACTTACAGGGTCCCCTGTCTCCCAGACACACCTTTCAGAGGCTTGAGCTCTGTTTGTGAAACACTGGGGCCTTATCCAGTCTTCTTTTCTTGACCTACTGTGCCTTGTGATTTAGGGATGTAAAACTTAGGTGGCAGCTGTTTTTCTTCCTGGAGTCCACTGTCTTTTTTTTTTTTTTTTAAGTTGAGAGTTATTTAACTGATTCTAAAAAACCATGGTAGGGAAGGGACAGGAGATGACCCAGTAAGAGTGCTTGTTAATGTACAAATGAACCTGAGTTCTAATCCCCATCTCCCAAACAAAAAGCCAGGCATGGTCTCACTTGTCCCTGAAAGCCTAGTGCTGGTAGGAGCAGAGACAGGAGGATTGCCAGGGCTGCCTGTTGATCAGCCTAGCTAAAAAGCAGTGAGCTCCAGGGTCAGTGAGATAGCCTGTCTCAGAAACAAGATGGAGAGCTATGAAGGATAGCCCAAATCCTCCTCTGGCCTCTACATGTTTGCTCATGGTCAGGCACACACCTGAGCGTGGTGCACATGCATACACACATGTACACACATGTGTGGACACACACACTTGTACACACACTCAGAAAAAACTTCACCAGTATCAAGCCCATAGAATTGTATCTTTAAATTGTGTTTGGGAAAGCACAGCTGGAATGGGAGGTTGCCTTCTCTGCCTCCTCCCTTCTTCCTCCTCAGTGACGCGCAGGACCTCCTTCCTGGACTAAGGCGGTGTTTATTTCTGATTATCTTTTCAGTCACCCTGGGAGGTCCTTGAATTTGTCTAGTCTATGCCTCCAGGCTACTTCTGGATTTCTCAGGGGGCTGTGGAGAATCCCATGTTTTCACATCCTTTTTACCTTTGTAGCAGCTGAGGTGTCTCTCCATCTCCCGAGTGACATCCAAACATCTGTTAGTTCCTCTGTGACCCCTATGTCATTACCTCATCTGTCCTTGCTCTTAAAAAAAAGGAAGAGGAGAAGAAAACTAGCGATTTTGCAAAAACAGGATTACAAGAGAACAAAGCCAGGACTTAATTCCCAGGCATGAGTGTCTTCTGGAGGTGGCCATGAGCCCAGTATCTTTCGCTACTTGCTTATGGTTTCAAAGTGGAGCTCTGCTTGGGGACAGGGGACAGGAGCATCTAGTCTCTCCATCCCTGACATTCAGCATATTTTGCGGCTGGCCTCTGTTCCTTCTCTACTGCCACTTTGGTCCCAGTGCCTTCTTTTAGACATCTCTATGAGTTGACAGGCCATGAGGCTTTCTCAGGATGCCCCAGCCACCTAACAGCTTTTTCAGTGTGTCCAGAAATCGGGAGGCAATACAACAGAGTGGTTGCTAATCACGCTGGCTCCCTGAGTACAAATCCTAACACTCCTGATTGTCAATTGGTGACACTGAGCAAGTTTGTTAGACTTTTGAAACCTCAGTTTTCTCATTTGCTCTTCCTTGTGGAGATGGTCGTGAAGACTCACTAGGACAGGCATGTCACTAGTTAGCACTGCACTTGACATTTGCTGAGGCTTAAAATAGGATTGCTTATTAATATCCTGTGGCAATACTACAGCTTGGCCTCAGGAATGGAGGGTCTGTGACTCCTTAAGTAACCACCTGCCACCTTCTCTCTGCAGGGTATCAAAAAACCATTCACTGAGGTAATCCGAGCCAACATTGGGGATGCCCATGCTATGGGCCAGCAGCCAATCACCTTTCTCCGTCAGGTGAGCCAGCCCTCAAGAACAGACCTCTTGGGGCCCTGAAGTGGAACCTGGGAGGGACCAGACAACAAGCCCTAGCATCCCTCAGGCATGTGCATGGGGAAGTAGCAGCCCTTTCAGGTACCTGATGTCCCTGTTTCTCTCTCTCAGCAATTCCTCTTCCAGTGTTATCAAAAATATCTTAACACACTTTGGTCTGGGATAGGATGCTTCCAGGAAGGCTCTTCTTCATTGTTAGGACTGGGATCCTGACAGAAGAGCTTTGGTGAAGGTGTCCATGTATATATGTAGGACAGAGAGGTGCAAACACAGTGGGGTAGGAGGAGTTGCCCCAGGGTGAAAATATAGCCCAAAGGGAGGCCCTGGGTTTGAGTGTTGGATCTGCTGCCGACCAGCTAGCTGGCTTTGTGCATGTGGAAATTGTCAGGGTGCTTGGAGGGCAGATGAAAGTCTTCCTACAGCCCAACAAAAAGTGCAGGTTATAGCAGCCACAGCCACCTGCTCTCAGGTGCCTCCAGCGTAACGCAGCTCCCTCACAGGGGCTCTAGGTGATGGTGGTTTCAGGGTTTATGTCTGAATATCAATGGCAAAATGTTGCATGGGCTGACAGTACAGGATCAGCAGGCAAGGACAGCTTGGTCGGAACATGCCACCAGGCAGCCTGAACGAGGTAGGAGGCGGGGCTGTGGAAAGCTTTTTCCTGGAGAAGGACTGGGCCTGTTTCTGACCAAAATAACAGTTCTATATGTATAAGGTCCACAGGCTAGGGCAGGTAACAAACTGTGGGTGTGGGCAGCTTTGTCCCCTTTTCCAATCTGTGTCACCACCTTCAGAAGGGGCACAAAGTGGGGGTTCCCTCTTGTCCCTTGGGGCAGAAGGCTATTGGAGGCCCAGCCACACCCCCTACATAACAGAGGCGAGCTCGCAGCAGATCCTGGTCTGAGGATACCCTGCAACCATTGCTGAGTTTCAGAAGACTGGAGATGAGTATTAGGGTCCAGCATGTGGAACTGGGGGGACAAACAGTACCTCTGCCAGAGAAGTAGAGGCAGGAAGACGGCCAAACTCCTTGATTGTAAGTAGGAGTGTGGATCTGGTCTTGGGTCAAGAGAAGGTTTCTAACAGTGCTTACCTTTACAAGCTGTTAAACTCATCCCCAAAGCCAACCCAGCCCTGGGGCCACAGTTGTCCTAACTTATCGCGCATGGTGTCAGCTGCTTGCAGCTGTCATCTGACTTTCTGATCTTCATAATGACTCTGGAGAGGGGGAGGCTAGATTATTGCTCATTGTACAGAGGAAGAAAAGCCAAGAAGCTGGTTAGTCACCTGACTGGTATCGGCGCTCTGACTTGTTCTTCCCTTTAGCAAGCCTGGCGTGGTTCCTCAGCTGCCAGCTTTAGACAGGTGTGCTTGGTTTTACTGGCACCTAGTCACACAAAGCCTTATAGTTAATCCTCTCAGTTCTCATGTACACGGTGATTTTGTGTTACAGGGAGAAAAAGCTATTCCGGCTTTCAGATCTAAGGATTAGTCCAAAGGAAGAACAGGAGGAGAAGGGCTCAGGCTTTGTGTCTTCAGGGGTCTCACAATCTTGTTCCTGTCAGCAAGATTTTGCGGCCCACTGAGGCCTGGCCCCTTGCCTAGCAGACCCTCTAGTTCTTATGATCCTAGATGTTTGGGTCCAGTGTTGTTTGTGGATGAGTGGAAGCCAGGGCCGTGGTGAACTTGCACTTCTGCCACGGCTCCTTGTTTGGCCACCCCATTCTTGGGTCAAGCTTGGTAGTGTTGCCTCCTGGCCATCAGATTCTCTCCTGCTGCTGAGAGCCAGCATCTTCCACTCAGCTACCCTGAGCTCCTTCCAGCCTAGCCCTCATGGAGGGACTGCAACACAGTGTTTGGAGTTGTCTTCTTACTTTACCTTGCCCAGTGTCCTGTGTGCTTGGGTACCACATTGTAAACTCACTGTACCCTCTTTCTATAGGTGATGGCACTCTGCACCTACCCAAACCTGCTAAACAGCCCCAGCTTCCCAGAAGATGCTAAGAAACGAGCCCGGCGGATCCTGCAGGCCTGTGGTGGAAACAGCTTGGGTGAGGCCCAACTTGCAAGGTGCTTTAGGATGTGAAATGAATCTGGGTTCCAGGATGGGTCTGGGCCCGTAAGCAGAGGGCTGTGAGGTAACTGATTGTGTGGGAGGCGGCCGATGTCCAGAGTGTACAGATGCATACTCGACTTCTGATGTACTAAGGCAGTGGTATCATGCCATCTTATGGTGAGTCGGGTACTTAAGTATAAGTACCTCCATTCTTCTGAATTCGGGCTTGTTTAGGCCAGCAAAGGTTTAGTTCGGTGACAGCCCATAGCATCATGAGGCTAAATAGAATGCCAGTTCCCAGCTTTGCTCCAGTTTCTTGTGTCTGTGGCATTGTCTGAGAAATGGCTCCTGTCTGCTGAGGATAGGAAGCATCCAGGGCTTTGTCTTTCTTCAGTTTAATTGTTCCATTCCGCCTCCCACTCCGCTGTATCCCTTCCCCCTGCCTCTGTTCCTCTTGGTGGAAGGCCCAGGCCCAGCGGTCTGCCTAATAGAGCGCCAGGTACCTTCTGGCTCTGTGGAAGAGGTCCTGGGATTTGACCCCCTGTGGATGTGAAAATGATAGTTTTCCTCCCTACCCTGCTTGGAATCCAACCAGTGGCCTCCAGCTCTTTGTTCTCATCTCATTTTGTTTCTTGTTGATCTCCTCTGCCCTTTCCCCAGCGCCTGTACAGCGTTCTTAAGCGTTCTTAAAGCTTTCTTAGGATGCGTGCCCTGATATTCTGAGACCCAGAGCCAAGAGTGAGACAGATATTTTTCTGAACTGCTCAGTCAGGGAATAGCCCCTTAGTTTCTGCCTCCCTCTATGTTCCCTCCCCGCTTTTCTGCTCTGTCCCTTGCTGTGGGCTCTGTGCTTACCTGCTGGCCGTGGTGACTCCATTAACGTTCTTGATCTGGGCACGGTGGTATCCCTCTTAGGAAGGGGCCAGAGTCCCTTGCTTCCCTGCCTGGCAGCCTGAGCTCTAAACCATAGGTTGGCAGGGAGCAGCATGTGTGGCAGGGCATTTCTTTCTCTAGACCCTCCATCCAGCAGAGAGGACGAATGTGTTTCTCAAAGACCCAGTGGCCCTGAGATTTCCAGAAGTTCTCCTGGGGAAGCAGGGGGAAGGGAACTGGCTTTTTGTGTATCTAATGTGAGTGGGGAGGGAATGACCTTTGACCTTTGCTCTGCCCACTAAATCTCACCTATTGATTTTTGTCCCTCTTTGTCAGCTTGAGCTAGGGGGTAGGTGGGAGGCCGTGCCTACGGAAGGGTGCTCTTTCGGTGTTTTAGCACACCAGTAAACCATAAGGATTTTGTGGTCTGCTGGGCTCTGCCCCAGGAACGTGTGAGTACAGATGAGGGAAATGCATTCTGAGCCTTCTCATTTTCAAATGAGGAAGTGTTCGGTCTCCACCTCCTGCCCTTTCAAGAAAGGCTGGTCTGTCTGCTTGGTTTTCATGTTGGGTGACTATAACCAGGCCCTGCCCATTGCAATGAACAGTTAGTGTGCTCTCTCTCTCTCTCTCTCTCTCTCTCTCTCTCTCTCTCTCTCTCTCTCCTTTTTTTTGTTTTTTTTTGTTTGTTTTTTCAAGACAGGGTTTCTCTGTGTAGTCCTGGCTGTCTTGGAACTCAGAAATCCGCCTGCCTCTGCCTCCTAAGTGCTAGGATTAAAGGCGTGCGCCACCAGCGCCTGGCTAGTGTGGTCTCTCTTGAGCAAGGATGTTGAGGTCTCACTGTCTGTGAGTCTTAGGTGACCCAAAGTGTTCTCTCCTACCGTAGGAGTGAAAGGAAGTGGAGTGTGTCAGTGTTCTCAGGCGCATGCTGACCCACGTGCGGATTATTATTGACTGTGTATATGAAGTATTTTTTTAGTTTTAAACATTTTTATTTTATTTCATGTATATGGACGTTTTGCCTGCATATATGTCTGTGTGCCGTGTGCATGCCTTGTATCTGTGGCAATGAGAAGGGAGCTCTGGATCCCTTGGAACTGGAGTTACAAACAGTTATGAGCCATCATGTAGGTGCTGGGAATTGAACCCAGGTCTTCGGGAATAACAGTCAGTGTTCTTAACCGCTGAGCCATCTCTCCAGTTCATTTATACATTTTTTTTTTTTTTTTTTTTTTGGTTTTCCAAGACAGGGTTTCTCTGTGTAGCCCGGGCTGTCCTGGAACTCACTCTGTAGACCAGGCTGGCCTCGAACTCAGAAATTCGCCTGCCTCTGCCTCCCAAGTGCTGGAATTAAAGGCGTGTGCCACCACTGCCCGGCTCATTTATACATTTTTAAAGAATTTATGTATATGTTTTTGCCTGCTTTATCTGTGTGTGCCCCAGCTGTGTGCAGTGCCATGGGACTAGAAGAGGGTGTCAAATCCTCCTGAAACTGGAGTTGTAGGAGCAGTACGCCACGGTGCTGAGGCTTGAATCTGGGACCTCTGCAAGGACAGCAGGACTTAACTGCTGAGCTGTCTTTCTAGGTCCCATTTATGAAGTCTTAAAGTTCATTCCTGTTTTTCTCATGACCTTTAAGGTTGTTTTTTCCTTAGCCAGGCATGATGACACGCCCTTTAATTCCAGCAGTCAGGAGGCAGAGGCAGGCAGATCTGATGAATTTGAGTCCAGCCAGAGCTACATAGAGACCTTGTCTTTTAAAAAAATGTTTCTTACTAATGCTTTCTTTATTGTCCATCTGACGAGCAATTCAGTCCTTAGGTTGTGTCCTGGATACTAAATATCCAGGGGGAGCCTTGGGAGTTGTGTCACCCCACTCTGGATTCAGCATGGAAGAGGCACTGTTCCCCACACTGAGGGACACATGTGACTGAGAGGAATGGAGTTTCTGTGCTCATGGAGTGCACCCCCAGTTTTGAAAGACGCAAGCAGTAACTGGAGGCAGGACTGGAGTTGAGTTCCTAGCACCCATGTTAGCCTGCTCACAACTGCCTTTAAGTCCTGCTCCTGGAGGGTCCAGTGCTTCTCTGGCTTCTACAGGCATTTGCACTCATGTGCATGCACCCACACACAGATACTTACACACTACGTAATTCTTTTAAAAGTAACTCCTGTGAATTTTATATGTATGTGCCGTTTGGAGCTTTCATGACTTATTGTATAAGAGGCAGAAAGCTGCCGGGCGGTGGTGGCGCACGCCTTTAATCCCAGCACTTGGGAGGCAGAGGTAGGTGGATCTCTGAGTTCGAGGACAGCCTGGTCTACAGAGTGAGTTCCAGGACAGCCAGGGCTATACAGAGAAACCCTGTCTCGAAAAAAAAAAACAAAAACAAAAACAAAAACAAAAAAAAAAAAAAAAGAGGCAGAAAGCTATAGGAGTGCATCAAGAGAGAGATTAAGAGAACTGGCTGGAGCTTGATGTGGTGGAGCACACCTTTAATCTCAGCACTCAAGACGCAGAGTCAGACAGATCTCTGAGTTTGAGCCCAGCCAGGTCTACATAGTGAGTTCCAGGCCAGCCAGGGTGATATATAGAGACCCTGTCTCACAAAACCAGAAAATAATAAGCCAAGGTTTGCATCCAAGCTCAAGAGGGGGGTGAGTGGAAGAGAGCGTGCAGATGCACACCAGAGAGAGGGCACAGTGTGGGCAACAATCTGGAGGTTCAGGATGGGTGTGATCCAGCCAAAGGTGGTGATGGATTATTCAGGGTGGCTGAGGAACTTGGTGATGAGTAGTCTCTCAGGGAAATGACTTCTAAGCAGAGGTATAATGGGGAGGGAACAGGGTAGCTATATGCTGGGGGACCGGCCTCCAGGATCTGTGTTGGTGCTACTTAAAACTCTGAGCTATATTGGTGTACTAGTGTCAGCCCATTCTCTCAAGTTCTGCAGAACCATGTTGAAGCAACTAGCTAAAACGTTGTTGTAGAATGTGCCTAAGTCCCAGGTATGAGCGCTACTTGACACTCTAGAAACCAAGGCTCAGTGTATAGAAGATGCTCAGTAAACACTGGGTGGAAGGATGTGTGGGTGGATGGATGAGCCCAAACAAGTAGATGAACATCTTGCCATAGCCCAGGGGAGTAGGAAAGAGGCCCCACCTCAGTGCTCACTGCCATCTCTATCCCCAGTTAATTACATGGATGTCACACTCATTCTATTGAACTAGACATACTACCTCTAATCATCTTGTTTGTCTCACAGGATCTTACAGTGCTAGCCAGGGCGTTAACTGTATCCGTGAGGATGTGGCAGCCTTTATTACCAGGAGAGATGGTGTGCCTGCAGACCCAGACAACATTTACCTGACTACTGGAGCTAGCGACGGTATTTCTGTATGTGCAAAGGTGGCTTTTGTTTGTTTGTTTGTTTGTTTGTTTAAAAAATTATGTATTTAATGTATATGAGTACACTGTAGCTGTCTTCAGACACACCAGAAGAGGGCATCAGATCCCATTACAGATGGTTGTGAGCCACCATGTGGTTGCTTGGCATTGAACTCAGTACCTCCGGAAGAGCAGTCAGTGCTCTTAACCACTGAGCCATCTCTCCAGCCTCCTATTTGTTTGTTTTTCAAGACAGGGTTTCTCTATGTAGTCCTGGAACTCTCTTTGTAGACCAGACTGGTCTCAAACTCTCAAAGTGCTTGGACTAAAGCCATGCACCATCATACCTGATGGTGGTCCATTCTTATCCCAGTGTTCACTTAGATGACACACAACCTTGCAGGTTAGGGCCAGGTGTTTGAAGTAGTTAGCTAGGCAGGACACAGGCTTGGTAGATAGAACAGGCCACCCTCTGGTACCCCCTGTCCCAGTAGCTTCTAGTCCCTGACAGTTTGCATGACCCTGGATACAGCTGCAGCATCACTTTCCTTCCAGAGACTCCACCAGCCGGTCCAGCTGCTGGGGAGCTATAGGATACCAGAGCTTGCCCACTGGCTTCTCTGTTGCTTAGCAATTACTGTGTTCTTCGTTTGCCACGCACTGTGCTAGATGTTGGGGAGACCTTTTGAAACCAGGTTTGCCACTTAGTCTCTGCTTACATGCCAGTGTTGTGACAAACTAGCATTAACATAAAGGTCACCTCCCGAGTCTTCAGTTTCTGTTCTGTAGTGAAAAGAATATATACGGTGACAGCAGCAGGAGCTCTGAAGGGCCTCTGAGAAAGACTAAAAGATGCAGGAGTGTGCGGGGAAAGCAGGAGAGGAAGTGTTTTCTAAGCTGAAGATCAGTGCAGCATGCAAAGATCTTGATCTGGAGAGAGGCCAGTGTTTTAGAAAGAATCCCAGGTGGGTGAGCTCACACAGTGGGGGATACTTACCAAAAACGGGCCAGGGAAGCTAGTAATGGCTAAGTTCTATAGCACCCTGGAAGCCACGCTGAAGTCAGACATTGGCTCTTCAGTAAAGGGAGGGAGTCCAAGTGATTTAATCAATATGCAGTTCAACTTTGGCCTGGCCAGAAAGAGCGAAGTAACAGTAAGTGAAGGAGAGCTTACGGGATGAGCTGGCTCAGGCTGGGAGTCAATGAGCAACAGCGTGGGGCATGTGGACTAGAATCGGTGGTTACGTGGCTAAAGATCCTTCTGTGGCACAGGTAGGTGGACTAAAACTAGTGGTTACGTGGCTGACAAGTCTGCTGTGGTTTCAGTTAGGTGAACTAGAATCAGTGGTTATGTGGCTGAAGTCTAAAGTTCTAGGCTTGTGGTGGGCTTGGCCTCCTGGGTTTTTATTTTGTTGGCTGGTTTTGTTTATTCGCCAGTGCTGAGGATCAAATCTGGCCCTCGGCATGTTGGGCAGGTGCTTACCCGGGTGTGCTTACCTAGCTGCACACACTCTGTTCACTTTTAGCCTATTTCTACATAATATTCTAGCCCTCTGCTCAGTCCCATTAACCTGTGCATTCCTCCTACGTGGGCAGTGGTTGCTGTTATCTTTTCTGTCTTACTGGGACTCTTTGTCTCCTCACAGGCTCTTGTTTTGAAGTTGAGTGTATGTTTTCCAGAGCCTTTCAAATAGATAATGCATTCATCTCCTACTTGAGCCTCTGAGGAGACAGGTCCCAGACACTAACTGTGCAGTGTGCTTTCCAGTCTGGCGGGATTCTTGCATCGAGGAATTGAACCTCAGCTGAACCCTGTGCACATGCAAAATGGAAGATCTCCCAACAGATGACTTTAGCTTACTAATTCCAAGAACCATTGCCATTTTGACCTACACCTCATTCGACCCTGTGGTTTATTTTCCTAAGAAATATAAATATATGTACCCCGCTTTGTTTAGAAAGAGGCGGAAGTACCTATCACCTGGTAAATGGTAGGACCATTTCAAAGGTCTGTCATGTAGGAGTCTGTCCAGCGTGTGTGGGCCAGCTGATGAGTATGTTGATAACATTGAGTCTAAATGAAAGTATCAGGGTGAGGTCTGAATAATCTAGGGCAGGACCAGCTTGGAAACTGTTTTAGAATGTGTTGGCTTGTTTGATTTGTTGGTTGGGTATTTTGAGAGATGATCTCACAATTGAGGTAGCCCAAGCTGACCTCAAATTCATGATGGCCCTGCCTCAGCCACCCAAGTACTGGGATTATGCATGTGTTACTTCATGCTGTCAGATGTCCAGTCTTTTACTACATGCCATGCATTATGTCAAGAACTTTAAGATATTCCATGTTTCTTACAACCCACAGCACCCCTTATGTTCTGGTTAAGGAAACAGAATGAGGGAGATGAAGCAACCTTGATAGGGTTGCACTAGAGGCCCCTGGTAGGCACCTGGGGCGGAGCTCATTTGGTTTGTCTGCCCGTTGTCTCTTGAAGGTAGAGAGAAGCAGCAGGAACCTATAGATCAGAGGTTCACCTCAACCTGTGGGCCTCAACCTCTTTGGGGACTGACTTTACAGGGGTCACCTAAGACCACTGGAAAACACAGATATTTACATACAATTTGTAACAGTAGCAAAATTACAGTTATGAAGTAGCAATGAAACTAATTTTAGGGTTGGGGTTCCCACCACATGAGGAACTGTATTAAAGGGTCGTAGCTCTGGAAAGGTTGAGACCCGCTGCTGTAGATGCTCCTTTTTGTTGTAGACAATCCTGAAGCTCCTGGTCTCCGGTGGTGGCAAGTCACGGACAGGTGTGATGATTCCCATCCCACAGTACCCCTTGTACTCTGCGGTCATCTCTGAGCTCGACGCTGTCCAGGTCAACTACTATCTGGATGAGGAGAACTGCTGGGCTTTGAATGTGGATGAGCTCCGACGGGCATTGCGGCAAGCCAAAGACCATTGTGACCCTAAAGTTCTCTGCATTATCAACCCTGGAAACCCCACAGGTCTGTTCTTGACTCTCTTGCCTCATTCTTAGGGGCTTGGAGTGGTTGGTATGCCAGACACTTGACTACTAAAAAATTAAATTAGGCAAGGTTTGCTCTGTTCCAGTTTCCCAATTCACTCCAGATTTGCTAACAGCTGTGAGGCTCGCCTCAGGCTGTTTCAGGAGACAGCAGCAGGCACATTTTTTTGGTTTTTGTTTTGAGCAGGCTGGTATTACTGATAGGAGCTGTTCTTTTTCATGTTTTACCTTCAATTTTAAAGACTCATCTCCTTGAGATTATTCACACAAACTGTTACCACTTAGTTTAAGGTCATTTGATGCTAAGTCCTCCTTGTTTCTCAACTGGATTCAGAGTGCTGGTGTATAGAGTTTGGCTTTTCCTTTGAGAAGAAAATTCAATATATTTTTTTAAAAAAGCAAACAACAACAACAAAGCCTGTTTCTAGACCCAAATTTTGTATATTTTTCTTAAAAAAAAGAAAAAAAAAGTACACAGCCCTTTCTGTTGTGATTCCTGAGCTGCTGGCTTGTGTGTCTCCAGGGCTCTTTGGATCAGAGAGTGAGAACTCCTTTCTCCTTTGTTGAGCTAAATTGAATTGGGGCCAGAATACATTAGAGTTGATTGTGGAATCTGCTGCTCTGAGATGCTTCAGTCTGCTGAAAACAACCACTTTAATTCCTGAGTGCAAGCAGAGGTGCCACTGGTGCAAACACTGGTGTGTGTGCTCCAGTGCCTTGTTGGGGGAACGGAGTTCTACCCACAGTGCACTGCAGGGAAATGACGTGGCGCTGTTCTCAGTTGTGCTGTAGATCAGCGTCACAAAGCGAGCTTTGAAAACCTCTCAGACCAGTCCAGACAGCAGCGCTCTTCACAGCTGATGAGAACTGCTTCTTCAGGACTGTGGTTCCTAAACTTTTAGCTTGTTAAAGTAAAAGCTGAAGGCTGTGCTCACCAACACTTTAATGACTGGGCTAGGGCTGGAGAATTGGCAGGTCCAAGATGACACTTCTGCTGATCCCAGGGCCACACTTGGAACAGCAAGTCTTGCAGCATTTGTATGCTGAGTCGGCTGTTGAGTCAGTACTTTTTTGTTTGTGTCTTTGGAGACTGTGTTCCTGTCTGGTCTAATACTTGCTATGTCATCTGGGCAGGCCTCAGACTCACAGCAGTCCCCCTCCAGGCTCTGAGTGCTGGGATTACAGGCATATGCCACTGGCTGGTCTTTTAAGTCTGGACTTTTTTTTTTTTTTTTTTTAGTTTTTTTGAGACAGGGTTTCTCTGTGTAGTACTGGCTGTTCTGGAACTCACTCTGTAGACCAGGCTAGCCTCGAACTCAGAAATCCACCTGCCTCTGCCTCCCAAGTGCTGGGATTAAAGGCGTGCGCCACCACTGCCCGGCAAGTTTGGACTTTTTACTCAGGCATTTATGTAAATCTTTTTGCCTAGCTGCCTTGGAGAACATACCTCCTGTTCTACTATTCTAAGTAAAGAGGTCCTGTGACTGTATATTATTATAAGTAATATTATCTGTCTATCATCTATCTATCTATCTATCTATCTATCTATCTATCTATCTATCTATCTATCTATCCATCCATTTATCTATCTGTTTGAGACTGGATCTTACTGTGTAGCTTTGGCTGTCCTGGAACTTACTATGTAGACCAGGTTGGGTTTGAACTCACAGACATCTGCCTGCCTCTGCCTCCTAAGTGCTGGAACTAAAGGAGTGCATCACCATGTCTGGCCTCATAAATAACTCTTATGAGACTAACTTATGAGTGGGCACCATCTTTCCTTGCTTTCTGGGGTCTTAATGTATGGAAATCAGTCAGTTGCTAGAAGAGGGGTGGTAGGAAATGGAAATTTTCCAACCACATGTCACAGCCAGCTTGGCTAAAAGGAGTCAAAGATGCTTGAGGTTTTAAGCCAGGGTGCCTCTAGTTTCAAGACAAAAACCCAGCTCAAACCTGCAAAGCCGTAGGGTAGCGCTGTGGAGGCCAGGTAAAGCAGTAACCTGAGTCACTATTATTGTGTTCAGTTCTCAGCTCCACTGTCCTCTGAGTTGGGCTCCTTAGAATCTGGGCCTTCAGCAACTCCAGCAATTGCTCATCAGATGAAACCTTAGAATACATCTCCTGTGATCTCACTGAGAGTCCTAGGCCAGGAACTCACTGACCCATCTCGGGACAAGTCAAACCACTAGGACTCTGATAAGACAACTCTTTTACTTATTCCTTTAGAAGTCCTCCTTAGGCTGGCCTCGAACTTGCAACCCTCCTGCTTCAGCTTAACCAAATGTTTGGGTTAGAGGTGTGTGTCACTACACCTGGGGGGTTAGGCCAGGGTCATTTCTCTTATTTCCTGCTGGGGTGTCCTCACAGGATAGCTGTGGTATGTTACAGGAGGGAGGAGGTGTAATCACAGATGTTTCTGTCGGTTTATAAGGAATTCCTTAGGCCCATCTTCTGGTTCGGCCATTAGGTACCGCTTTCTAGCTTTTTGGGCCTGTATCAAAGCTGTATCTTATGTCTCCTCAAACTGAGTATAACCTGACCCCTATAAAGCCATATATGACTTTCTCTTATTCTCTCAGTTGTTTATGTTTGTCTCTTTGGCGTCTTCATGTGCAATGATTGCTGAGTCCCAAGCCCTGGGTAAACCTAAGCTTGTCTTTATTTTCAAGTGTGCACCGTGTATAGCAGTGGGATTTTTGCATCTTTTCCATCCCCTTCCCTCCACCAGGCTGAAGCCTTTTCAAGACTCTGGTCCGTCAGTTCCTCTTTGTCTTCCCCTTTGCATCTTGTGAACATGTTTTTGTATATTCTAATGCTCACAGCTCTGCTTGTATTCCAGTCAGATATAGTTAGGAGATCACGAGACCCCACTAAGGGTCTACCCACAACTGCATCTACCCACAAACTGGCCAGTCCCTGTCTGCAAGAGTAGTGCTGGTTCCATGTAGACACCAAGGCCTGGCACTCTGCTGGAGTTCCAGAGCCCCAAGCTTGCTTCTTATAAAGCCTGGCTGGCACTTGATGGCCAAAGAAATTTCAGTCCCTTATTTGAGAAATTGGCTTAATTTCCCTTACGAAGGTGAAAATCCTGACAGAATCAGTTTAAGATACACTTCTATATTTTATAGACATTTTTCATATCATTCTGTAGATAAATATATAGACATTTTTTTCTTTTTAGCCAAGAGGTAACATTCTACATGCTTTTCTGCTTTATGTTTATACATGCATAAATGGTTCATGTGTATATGTCTGTATTTGTGCACATATGCATGACATACATATATGCTGGGCACACAATAAAGAAATCAGCAATCGACTGAGCATGCCAGAGCTTACTGGTGTTGCACACAAAGCCTGAGGAAAACATGGGAAAGGAAGCTCCACTCCCACCTTCCTACCCTCCGCGCGCTCTCTGTTCCAGTGCTGTGCCTGCAGGCTGCTGACTCAGCATTTTGCTTTTGAAGCCATTCTGACACGGGTAATGGGCGTGTCTTCCCTGCTGGTGTTGAGGCAAGTCCTGAAGGAAGCCAAGAACAGCAGTGTGCTCTCTCAGTGTGCAGAAGCAGCTGGCCGGAGATACCAGCCTGGCTCATTCATTCTGTGTTCTGCAAGTACTGATTTGAGCACCCACTGGCTCTCAGGGTAGATGATGAGCTGGGATTAGCTTGGCTTCCTTGTGGGCGTGTGCATCTGCCTTTCTGGAAAGACACCCACAGCTTTTCTTCAGTAACTCTAGCTCGGTTACCATATCAACCAGTACAGTTTTCCTCATTGCTTGCTGCTGGTGCGTAGTCTAGGAGTGGTAGGACCTGATGAACTCCACTCCATCCCACTCACTGTGTCCTGCTCACTGTGACACTCCCACACCACCCTGTCCTCCAGAAAAGACACACATCGTGCACACATGTGCATACCGCAGCCGTAAGGATGATGAAAAAGTCAGATGTGAAAGGCTGTTCCTTCCCCATGCCTGTCTTCATCTCATTGGACAGGACTGGAGCCTGTAGGCACGACTGGAGCTTAGCTTTGCTGCCATACCCAGCAAGTAGGAGGGTGGTCTCCTGGAATCTTCAGGAACTTAGGACACCCAAGTGATTTGGGTGGGAGTATTACTTGGGGACAACTGACATAGCATTACAACCTACATTTTGGTTTTCTTGGGGATTTTGTAGGCCAGGTACAAAGCAGAAAGTGCATAGAAGATGTGATTCACTTTGCCTGGGAAGAGAAGCTTTTTCTCCTGGCTGATGAGGTAAGAGCAGTCCCAGAGATTGGTGGGGTACATTCAGAGGGAGGGCAAGTCTTCTTGTATAGGGGAGAATTCAGGTCTGATTATTCTATAGCCAGAGAGAACTTTCTAGGCAGAGTGATTCTAAGCAAGCAAAGGTGAGGAGATGTTCGTCCTTAACCTATGAATGTGGCGCATAAATTATCTCTGTGGTTTGGACTCTACTTGTATTGAACACACACAAACACACACACACACACACACACATTCTCCATATGTATGGGAGACTGAGAATTCACTATGTAACCCAGGCTACCCTAGAACTTACTATACAGTCTAGGCTGGCTTTAAATTCACAGCAATATTCCTACTGTAGACTCACAGTGTTGAGACTACAGGTATCAGCCACCATACTCAGTTAAATTTCAGAATTTTAACAATTTTAACAGATTACTTTAAACTTAGAGGAGGAAGAAGAGGAGGAAGAGATAGTGATGTCACAGGTACATATATGGTTGGAGCCTGAACTCAAACTGTGTCTTCCAGATCCTTCTCCTTTTATCTCTGTATGTTGGCCCCATACGTGGACTGTCTTTCCAGCCTTGTAACTTCAGCAAGTTTATACCTGATTGGTTCAACTCCAGCCATAATTATTGGGCCAACCACTGTAGCCTGGAGTTGTAATATGCAAATTAACCAGGCCCAGGCCAAGTGCAAGTTCTCTGTCCTGCCCTTCCCAAATTCCACCTGGAAAGCCAAGGAGGCCTTCCCTGAAGGAGATGCACGGGTTCCTACCTAAAAGGGGTGTGTGGGGGTGTAGCTGCCCTTTGCGGGAAGAGGCTAAACGCCACTCCTAACATGCAGTTCCCTGCCTCTTGGTAGTCCCCTCTTCCATCTTATTTATTTTCCAGCCATCTGTGAGTCTGTGACATAGTCTCAGGTCTATGACTGTAACTTCTCAAATGCTAATCACGAGGCCTGGGCTTCCCATTCTTTGACCGACTTGGAAGAAACTTCAAGTTGATCATAGCCCACTGACACTTTCCCTTCATTTCAGCATGCTTATCTTTTCCTTTCTCGTTAAGCACCCTGCTCTGTTGCCACATTTAAATTGCCAAAAGTAATCATGGATCTAAAAACCTTACTTTCTAAAGAAAAAAATAAAAAGGCGTCAGTGAGACCTGGGGACTCCCTCTGGAAGCACACTGACTGCCCCACTGATCCAGACAGCCAGCTTTCCTGAGTGGAACAGGTGGGGTAGTGTTTCTAGGCTGTGAGTGTTAGATCCAGAGACAGGGAAGTGCAGGGTGTGTGCTGGCAAAAAGAGACAAACCCATGGCAAGTGGCATACAGGACACCCCACAGAGTTCATCCCAGAACAGAGGGCGGAGGACAGGAAGCTGCTCCCACTAATGGTGAAAAGTTTGCTCTGGAGGATGGGAGTCCCTGGTGTCACCACTGGCCTGATGATGTGTTGGACAGGCAGGCTAGAGACTGGGGACGGGTAAATGTAGAAGTCAGGGAAGCTCCTAAGCTGTGTTAGGATCCAGTCTGAGGCTTTTCCCTTGCTTGTTCTGGAAGGCTCCTTCAGGTGCTTTCTGGCTTATGTGTGGAAATACTGTTGGAAGTGGGACTGGCTGGTTTGTTCAAGACTGGACTTTGTGACCTTCTCCTGACAACAGGTTAACTCTGTACCTACGCACCCCTCTTGGGTGTAGACCATTGGCTACTTTTAGCCACAGCCTTTATTTGTTCAGGCCTTCCAGAAGGACTCATCGCCACTGTCATGTGTCCCCTGCAGGTATACCAGGACAACGTGTATTCTCCGGACTGCAGATTCCACTCCTTTAAGAAAGTGCTTTACCAGATGGGGCATGAGTATTCCAGCAACGTGGAGCTCGCCTCCTTCCACTCCACCTCCAAGGGCTACATGGGCGAGTATGTCGGCCGCTGGCGGGTCTGCATGGTCCCAGCGCTTGCACCCTCCTTTCTGCTTGCTGTTCTCTTGTGGTCCGCCCACACAGTTAGAAAGCAGCCTTCACCACTTGCCACTGGTGTAAAAATCAGGAGACAGGCTGCATCTCTGGCAAAACTAGTGGTATAAGAACCACGTGTGTGCAGTGACTCAAGGGAAATGCGGCCAGGCTCAAAAGAAACCAGATTGGATAAGTGATGGAAATGTAAACAGGTCCCATAGCAGCTCTGAGTCTGGAATCTTCCGCTCTGTGTGCAAGGCTACCTTAGCACTGGGAGAGTTATAAGACCAATATTTGGGGTCCATATCTGTGACTAGTATTTACTGAACACTTACCCTGAGTTTGCAGCACTGAGCACCCTGCCTTCACAAAGCCAGTATGTTACCAAGGAGTGAAGAACTAGGCAAAGAGGAAAGCCATGTGGCAGATGGAGAACTGAGGTCAGAGAAGAGGTGGAACTGCCAGAAGGTGGGACCGGAGTAGGAAGGGAGACACTTGAGAGAACATTCTAGACAGAAGGAATGTCATATGAAGTCTGAAGAAATGTTTTGGTTAGGTCAAGGGAGCCGTCTCCTTACATTGTTCTTGGCTTAATTTGATGTACATTAAGTGTATGAGTTAGGTTTCAGGAAAAACAACTGTAACAAAATGGCCCGAAAGTATAGAGGCTCAAAAAGGGTGACAGTGTATCTTTTTTTTTTTTTTTGACATAATGGTTCAAAGATACCAGGAAGGCAAAGCTGGGCTCCTTGTGATCCTTCAAGGACAGTGGCTTGTGAGTGTGCCTCCTCAGCGTGTAGTATCCCCCAGTCTCTAGGGTAGGGGCTATCCCACCTCCCAGGAAACAAGAGAAAAGAAGGAAGAGAGTGCCTGCTTTTCCCTGTAGGAGATGACTCTGTAGTATTACCTGCTCTCCTGCCAGTGGCAAGAGCTCAGGCACAGCTGCCTGCCGGGTACCGAGGGTGTGGTGTTAGAGATCTGGTGTCCAGACTGCACTTGTGAGGGCTTCCTGTAACTGGTGGATGTGTTCCTTCCACCCAACTCTCCAGGTGTGGGTACAGAGGCGGCTACATGGAGGTGATCAATTTGCACCCTGAGATCAAGGGCCAGCTGGTAAAGCTGCTCTCAGTCCGTCTCTGTCCGCCAGTGTCTGGACAGGCCGCTATGGACATTGTTGTGAATCCACCGGTGCCGGGAGAGGAGTCCTTCGAGCAATTTAGCAGGGTGAGTCTGCCTGGCCCGTGTCCATTGCGGCTATTGTCAGGATCATGCATGGACATGAACAGCCACCACGCCATGTGGTCGTGCATCTGATGGTGTGTCTGGGCGTGTCCATCCACGGCCATCTCTCAAGGGGGCATCTTGATATCTCTTGGTTGCTGAACCACCCTCGTGAGTTAAATCTAAAGACGCAACAGAGATACAACAGTGTGGAAGTGGGAAGACTTCCTGTGTGAGTGAATGCACTCTTCTTTCTCACTGTGAGCATCATAAGTGGCAGGATCCCAGGAGGAGAGCCTTATCTCGCAGAGATATGTTTTATTACTAACCTGAAAAGAAGGGGAAGTAGCTAGGTCTCACAGCATCAACGTAAAAAAAGCCCATCAAAACTGTTTTGATTGTAGACTCTAAAAGTCAGTTTGAATAGACTCCTCTCTCTCTTTTTTGGGGGGGAGGGGGAGCATAAGGGGGAGATTTGCTTGTTTGTTTTTTTGGACACAGGATTTCATAGCCAAACTATTTTTTAATTCAAGATCCTCCTGTTTCAACCTCCTAAAGGCTAGAATTACAAGTATATCTACCACACTCCCCCCCCCCCGTCTTTCACCCCTCCTCCTCTTTTTTGTAGTAAAATGCAAACAACTAAACTCTTTCTCGTTTTAAACAATTTTTATTATTTATTTTATTTATTTATTTATTTATTTATTTATTTATTTATTTGACATGTATGAGTACACTGTTGCTGTCTTTGGATACATCAGAAGAGGGCATCAGGTTCCATTACAGATGGTTGTGAGCCACCAAGTGGTCGCTGGGAATTGAACTCAGGACCTCTGGAAGAACAGTCAGTGCTTTTAACCACTGAGCCATCTCTTGACCCTCTTTTTCTTGTTTTAAATATACATTTCTATCCTGCTGTACTGAATTCCTTTAATCCCAGATCTCAGGAAGCAGAGGCAAGGAAACCTCTGTGAGTTTGAGGCCAGCCTGACTTATAGTAAGTTCCATGTCAGCTAGAGCTATTCAGAAAGACCCTGTCTAAACAGACGGACAGACAGTTCTGTTTCATTAAGGAAAGCCATTGAGATTGTTGTGCAGCCCTCTCCCACCCCATCCGTCTCAAGAACTTTTATCCCCAGTTGACACTTGAGACCTAGTAAATGCACAGTTCTCCACTTTCCCATTTCCCTGGTTCTTGACAGCCAGCATTCTACTCTGTCCCTGTGAATGCCCCTAAGACATATCTGTATAGGTAGAATTATACAATGTGTGTGTTCTGTGACTGGCTTATTCTACTTGGCACAGTGTCCTCCAGGTTATCCCTGTGGCCGGCCCAGAACAGCAGGGGTGTCTTTGGGATTGAGGACTGGGCCTAATATCATTGCATGGCTATATCACATTTTGTTTGTCTTCTCATCCTCAGCCCTCACCTTGTTATCTGTCTTGTACAACAGGACTTGCAGAAATCCCGAATGATTCTGTTCCAGCTTTGGATGCTTGTCCAGCTCTGGGACTGTTGCTGACTCTGCTCTGCCTGAGTCTGTGTCCACGTACACCACACTGACAGAGAATACAAAGGGATAATCCCTAGATGGCATGATGGGGCTGTCTCCAGGGGGACTCGTGACTCTCACAAAATTGTTTCTAGGGTATTCCACCCAGGACGAGGGCCATTTGGATTGATGATGAAAAAAAAAATCCTTGCAGAAAGACCTGTCCATCTGTCCATGCCTACCTCCTTACCCTGCCCATTTACAGTGTTTGTTATATGCAGCTCTTTGTCTGTCAGTCTGTCAGTCTGTCATAATGAACAATGTTTGTAGCCTTGTCTAGAATCATTGACACCTGTGCTTTCTATTACCATCAGGAAAAAGAATTTGTCCTTGGTAATCTGGCCAAAAAAGCAAAGCTGACGGAAGATCTGTTTAACCAAGTCCCAGGGATTCAGTGCAACCCCTTGCAAGGAGCCATGTACGCGTTCCCTCGGATTCTCATCCCTGCCAAGGCCGTGGAGGCAGCTCAGGTCAGAGTGGAAGGCTGGCTGTCTTCCTGGATTCACTTGAGCTGTCTCTGAGAGGGTTGGCTTTTTGCTTTGGCGCTGACCTTAGGAGTTCTGAACTCTGTGGGCCTCCTGGACAGACACAGTTTACCGTGTGATAGCTTTGTAGAGTCCCAGCTACAGCAGAGTAATAAAGCAAGTAGGAGGCTAACCCCAAGTGAGAGTCCAGGGTGGACCTCCATGGTGCTACTCTCGGGGTGGAGGCATAGCTCAGCCGTTAGACGTGTGCTACTTGCAGAAGATCTGAGTCTGGCCTTCAGCACCTACGTGATCACTCAGAGCTGTCACAACTCCAGTTCTAGGGGAGCCAAGCTCTCTTCCTATTTCCAAAGACACCAGGCATTCATGGAGTACACAGGCATACAAGCAGGCGAAACACTCATACACATAAAATAAATACACCTAATGCCGGGCAGTGGTGGTGCACGCCGTTAATCTCAGCACTTGGGAGGCAGAGGCAGGTGGATCTCTTGAGTTTGAGGCCAGCTTGGTCTACAGAGTGAGTTCCAGGACAGCCAGGACTACACAGAGAAACCCTGTCTCAAAAAACCAAAACAACAACAACAACAAACAATAAATACACCTAAAACCCATTAAAACAGCAAGACATACTGACTGAAGGGCAGGACCCAAGTGGGGTCTGATACTGATGTTGGAGAAGCAATGAGAGTCCTCACCTCCCCCAGCCATCACCTCCTGCAGCCGTGATTCCTAAGCCTAAATCTTCACAGCCTTGGGTTTGGTTTACTGTCGGGGAGCTGAGAGCCTGTGCTTCGAGTCCTCATATGCTATGGCAGATCCTACTTTGAGGCTCAGAGGAAAGTAATGTGTCTGTCAGTAGCATCCTCATCCTATCCTGGAGTACCTGAATACCTTGTTAGACACTAGGGATCCAGGCCCACCCTAGATGCTCAGAATCAGACTCCCCCTTCCAGAGCCGAGAATCCCTGACGGATTGTTGTATAATAATTCACTCTATTTGGTGCTGTTTTCATTGCTGTGACCAAACACCTGACAAGGTACAATGTAAGAGAAAAGCGATTTCTTTTGGCTCCCTGGGTTATGGGTATGGCCCTCTGGTGGGAAGGCATGAGTCACTTGAGGCTGAGGCAGAAGCACAAGGCTGCTTGCTCACCTCTGGGCGAGCGAGGATCGGGAAGCAGAGGAAGGGGGAGCCAGCACAGTTGTCTTTCTCCTTGTATCCCAGCCGACGGGCACTTTCTCCACATTTCCTCTGGAAATGCCTTCAGCCACAGGTTTAACCGTGTGCTTCCCTGATGCCCGAGGCTGCTCTAATCCAGTCGGGTTAGCTTTCTTAGCCATCATTAGCACTGTCAGCGGAGGCTCGGAGGCTTATCTCCTGAAAGCCACGGCTGGATTTAGATCGTAGGGCCCTGTTTTCAGATCATTTGCAGCCCGCGCCCGTTGCAGTTACTGGGGTGGGAATACTGGAACCCTTGAGTGAAGATCAGTAGTGTCACAGCTCCTACCTGTTCAACATTAGCCTCAGATGTCTGGGTCCCAGAACCAGCTTCCTGGCTGTGAGCTGGAATCCTACCTTATTTTGCAGGCAGGAAAGAGGCACTGCCACTCTGCATTTTGGTAGAAAAGAGGCACTGCCACTCTGCATTTTGGTTCTATCTGGTTTTGATACCTTCACTCCAAGTAGGATCTTACTTTTTATTTATAGCCCAGGTAAGACCCCACTGTGTAGCTCAGGCTGGCTCTGAATTGAAGATTCTGTTTGTTTACGTTTCTTTTCTTCTTCTTCTTCTTCTTTTTTTTTTTTTTTTTTTTTTTTGGTTTTTCGAGACATGGTTTCTCTGTATAGCCTGGCTGTCCTGGAACTCACTCTGTAGACCAGGCTGGCCTTGAACTCAGAAATCCGCCTCCCTCTGCCTCCCAAGTGCTGGGATTAAAGGTGCCACCACCACCTGGCTTGTTTAAGTTTCTCAAGTGCTATGATTATAGGTGTGAACCAAACCCAGCTCTGTTTTGGTTTGGGTTTTTAATGTGTGCAGGTCTCATGGATGGCAAGACACGAATCTCAAGTTCTGTCCTCTTCCCACAGTCCCATAAAATGGCTCCAGACATGTTTTACTGCATGAAACTCCTGGAGGAGACTGGCATCTGTGTCGTGCCTGGCAGTGGCTTTGGGCAGCGAGAAGGCACTTACCACTTCAGGTATGATCCTTTCTTTGGGGGTGGGTGGTGTTGGTCCCTTGGGTTCTTGCTTTAGAGACTGCAGGGTATGAACCTCTCTTCTTGATGGCTTCATCATGGCAAGCTCAGACCCTCTGTCAGAAAATAAGGAAAACAGGGGTACTTCGCAGCCCCAAGTATCCCTGGACTGTCCTGCCTCTGCTGCTTCCTGTTCCCTTCACACTATGTGCTTCTGAATGCACAGGACACTGCCAGTGCCTTAGTTAGATTTCTGTTACCATCATAAAGAGCATGACAAAGCAACTTGGGAAGGAAAGTGTTTATTTGGCTTATGAGTCCATGCTCAGGGAAAGCTCAGGCAGGAGCCTGAAGGCAGGAACCTGAAACAGAGAGCACAGAGGAACATTGATTAATGGCTTGCTTTCCATGGCTTTCCATGGCTTGCTCAGCCTACTTTCGTATGTAATCCAGGACATCTGTCCAGGGGCGGCACCACCCATGATGGCCTGGACCCTTCTACATCAGTCATTAATCAAGAAAAAGCCCCCACAAACTTGTCTATAGGCCAGTCAGATGGATGGAGTTATTTTCTTGTGTGAAATTCTTCCCAGATAAATCTAGCTTGTATCAAGTTGACAGAAAAACCAGCCAGGACAGCCTGGCACAGAAACAGGTGTTCAGTACCTCCTTGGCTGCACTATAGGCCATGACAGTATCCTGGGCCCCAGAGCCTCTTAAGGTACTATACTAAGACCACAAACCGAGAGGCTGTTCACAGCCATGTCTTGCCCAGCCCTGTACAGACGGACACACGGATTCCCAGAGCTGTTAGGCAGACGTTCCTCACTGAGGCCAACTCTGTTCAGAACAGTTATTTCTTCCCAGCTCCTGCGGTGGATGCTAAAAAAAGAATTGTCCTGAGTTACTGACATTTAGAGCCGAGTCTTCACAGTCAAAGATATGAGTCGTGTCCTTAGATGGACTAGCTGCTTACCTGGCTCTTTTATCCTTGGCCAGGTTCTCTGCTGCGATTCATGGTCCATCTAAAATGGAGAGTTGGGATTGCAGTGTAGCTCAGTGGTAGATGAGTGAAGTCCTGGCTTCCATGTCCAGCACCTCACCAAAAGTGTAGTTGAGTGGGGAAGCCTGTTGTCTGGACTGCAGGGAGAGCGAGCTTTTATGGGAACTGGAGATGTCTTTGAAATGAAACCTGTGATTTGACTGGAACACACACATGTGCCTACACACAGACACAGAGAGAGAGAGAGAGAGAGAGAGAGAGAGAGAGAGAGAGAGAGATTGATTTTCAATTTCTGAAAGAAAGGCTAAGAGTGGCCGGGCAGTGGTGGCACACACCTTTAATCCCAGCACCTGGGAGGCAGAGGCAGGTGGATTTCTGAGTTCGAGGCCAGCCTGGTCTACAGAGTGAGTTCCAGGACAGCCAGGGCTACACAGAGAAACCCTGCCTCGAAAAACCAAAAAAAAAAGAAAGGCTAAGAGTCATGTTCTAGGATTAGAATAGTTCGACCACTTGCTTAGCATGCATGAAGCCCTAAATTCAATCCCTAGCACCACAAAACAGGAAAAAAATGTCATGTTCTAGAAAGTTCTCTATGCTAGTCAGAATGTGCTGCTGGAGCCATATGTGGTGGGGCATGCCTGTAATGCAAGCACTTTAAGAAGCTGATGCAAAAGGATTACTGTGACCTCAAAGCCAGCCTAAGCAGCAGGGTGAGTTCCAGATCAGCTAGTGCCATATGAAACCCTGTTTTATAAAAGAAGAAGGGCTGGAGAGATGGCTCAGCTGCTAAGAGCACTGGCTACTCCTCCAGAGGTGCAGAGTTCAGTTCCCAGCAACCACGTGGTGGCTCACAACTATCTGTAAGGGGATCTGATGCCCTCTTCAGGCAGGCAGATATATATGCAACAGAGCACTCAGACATTAAATTAATAAAAAAAAAAAAAGTATAAAAGAAGAAAAGAGGAGGAAAAAGGGGCAGAGGCTGGCAGATCTCTGTGAGTTCAAAGCCAATCTGGTCTGGTCTACAAAAGTTCTAAGACAGTTGGGGCTACATAGAAGGACCCTGTCTTAAAATAAATATACAAGCCGGGCGGTGGTGGCGCACGCCTTTAATTCCAGCACTTGGGAGGCAGAGGCAGGCGTATTTCTGAGTTCGAGAGTTCGAGGCTAGCCTGGTCTACAGAGCGAGTTCCAGGACAGCCAGGGCTACACAGAGAAACCCTGTCTCGAAAAAACCAAACCAAAAAAAATAAATAAATAAAAAATAAATAAATATACAAACAACAATAGCAACAAAACGATGATGCGGCCTTCTATGGTAATGAAAAATACATTTTAGTGACTCAAAATCCGGCTTATTGCTTTAGTAGACAGGTCTGGCTGTAGTATGTCTGTGTATAAACCACTATCGTGGTATGTGTCTGTATTCCCAGCCTTCTGGAGGCTGAGGCAAGAGGATTGCTCAGGGTCAGGGCTTCCCCTTTCATCTCGGCAGCATGGGAGGCCAGAGGAACTAAGAAGACCCGAGTTTCACAAGTGTTAGGTGCCTTCCTGAGCCATTTCTCGGGGCTCATCTTCCCCAGCTCATCTCCACTCAGCAAGGGGTGTTTTTGGATTCATCCTGTGAACAGCCAGGCTGACATCGGTCTCTTTCCTGACAGAATGACAATTCTCCCTCCAGTGGAGAAACTGAAGACAGTGCTGAATAAGGTGAAAGATTTTCACCTCAAGTTCCTGGAGAAGTACTCATGAAGATGTCTCAGGCGCCGGAGCAAGAGCCCAGGACCACCCAGGCCTTCCTCATGGACTCTGCCTCAGACCTCATGCAGGTCACCAACCCTGTTCACCATCATTTTCCCAAGGAGACTTCTTTCTTTGTGCCTTGATGTTTGAGCGTTCTTCTGAGCAAACAGTGATTTTGCAATGTCTCGCAGGCCCTCTTTTTTGTTTTGTTTTTCTTTTTCTTTTTTTAAAAAAATGCAACCAAAGTAGAGTCAACCTGCTCAGCAGATGTACTTGGGATTCTCTGAATCACTGTTCTGTTTGGAAAGTTCCTTTGGGTCTTAAGCAGCCAGGGTACATTGAAATGAGATATTTCAGATCTGGAGAAACAAGCCAAGTGTTGGGAAATACGTGACTTAATGTGATAAGGGCTGGAAATCTAGAAATCAGTAATGAGATCCAAAAATAAAACCCTTACCAATGTGAGAATGTAGCATTTTAGACAGTAAACCGCAAGTCTAGTGAGGACTCAGAGAAAGCTGGTCATTCTAGTCTGGAGACAGGCAGTGCATCCCAGAAACCTGCAATTCTAGTGAGGACTCAGAGAAAGCTGCTCATTCTGGTCTGGAGATAAGCAGACAAGCATATGGAAGTCAGTAGTAGGACAGGGTCACATCAGATACCAGGTTAGATTGCACTGGCTACCTAGAACATTTTTTCCAGGTTTGGCTGAGCCTTTGTGCGTACCATTGCCCTCTGCTGGTGGCAGCAGAGATAAGCAAGGGCTGAAAATGGAGGTGATCCTTTTACAAGGCCCTGAGGGTGTTTTTAATTGTTTCAAACTGAATTTGGTTTGTTTGTAACCATACCTGGTTACACTGGCTGCCAAGAAGGAGCACCTGCATTCTGATTCAGTGTTCTTTTCAAGTCAGTTTCCTGCCTCGCTCCCTGATCTTTGGACAGCATCTTATCAGCCATCCCTGTGTGTCACAAAGTAGCAGCCACCAAGCAAGTGTATTCCTTGAATTAGCACACCTGGGTGGGCCATGTGCACACCAAGGAAACAGATGCTGCAGGGAGCGCCAGACCAGGTTTTCCTCCCCATCTCTTAACTGTCTCCATTCTCCAGTGAGAGTGAGAGCAAGCCATGGGGGAGCGCCAGCTCAGGAGCCTGGGTACCCAGTGAGTTAGGGGAGCTTAAAGGGCTAGAGAGAGAAAGCTGTGAGGGCTGTGGAGGAAGGCTGCACCCCAGCCTCCTGCCCTATGGTTCCACACTGCAGAGAGTGCAGGGGTTTTTTTGTTTTGGTTTTTGGTTTTTTGAGACAGGGTTTCTCTGTGTAGCCCTGGCTGTCCTGGAACTCACTCTGTAGACCAGGCTGGCCTCAAACTCAGAAATCCGCCTGCCTCTGCCTCCCAAGTGCTGGGATTAAAAGTGTATGCTACCACCGCCCGGCGGGAGTGCAGTTTTAAAGAAGAACTTCAAGTTGTTAACACTCACGAGCGTTACATTACTGTGAAGGAATAGCCACATCCATAACAGAATGTAAGGCTCTACTTTCCCTTTAAAAGCTGAAAAGGTAGCATGTGTGCTTGCCAGGCATATAATCCAGATATGCTCCGGGGTTCTGAGAGTCCTCCATGAAAGGTTAACTAGAAGCTAGTATATTTTTTATATTTTTGTAACAATTGGCTTTTTTCATGGGGGGTGGAGGTGGAAGGGTTAGTATTTATAGTCCTAACAGGTCCAATAATTTTTATAAGTGTCTTCAGATTATAAATAATCCTCCAAATTTTGCAATGTTTACATGTTTTTTTAAGATGAAAAATATGCTTGATTTGCTTTTTAAATAAAAGTTTAGCTGTTCTAAGAGATTAACTTCAAGTAGGAATGCTGGTTATGGTAGTTTGGGTTTTCTACAGATTCTGTTCCCATGCTTTTTCTGTTCCGGCGTCACTCCGGCAGCGTGTGGGTGGGGCTGTGGAAGCCTGGCCAGGCTGGACCTGGACAGACACACCTCAGAGACATTGTTTCCATTTGGAAGTGAGCGGGCACCGGCCTGTGCGCTCTTTGCTACTTACATTATGAGTTCTTCCGGCCTCCTTAGCGTGGGTCCTTGTGATAGCCGTGCTGGGAAGCTCTGAACAATAAAAGATGCCAAGTGGTGACTGAGCAGCTTGGTCAATACAAACTAAACATTGGTGGGGCTGAGTATGGTGTCGTACACTTTAATCCCAGCACTGAGGAGGCAGACCGGTGTCTGCCCGTTTGAGTCCTGTAAATTTACATAGTAAGTCCCTGTCACAACAAAATTGAAAATAACAACAGAAGCAATAAATGGTTAAGTGGATGTCACTAGTTACCTGTCTGTGTATGTGTGTGCATATATATGCATATATTTTTAATATCTCTTATATATTTACTATATTTTATATATGCATAAATATATGTTTTACAGGAACATATATGTGTTCCTGAACAGTAAGTGTGCCTAAATATCACAAACTCTAAGCAGCAGCTTCTGTTTCTTTTTTTTTTCCTTTATTGAATATTTTCTTTATTTACATTTCAAATGTAAATAAATCCTTTCCGGTCCCCCTCCCCGAAGCCCCCTATCCTATCCCCCCACCCTCTGCTTCTATGCGAGTGCTCCCCCACCCACCCATCCACTCCCACCTCCCCACCCTGGCATTCCCCTACACTGGGGCGCTGAGCCTTCACAGGACCAAGGGCCTCTCCTCCCATTGATGCCTGACAAGGCCATCCTCTGCTACATATGTAGCTGGAGCCATTGGTCCCTCCATGTGTAGTCTTTGGTTGGTGGTTTAGTCCCTAGGAGCTCTGAGGGGTGTGGTTGATATTGTTCTTCCTATGGGGTTGCAAATCCCCTTCAGTTCCTCCAGTTCTTTCTCTAACTCTTCCATTAGGGACCCAGTTTCTGCTTCTTAGGGTTTGACCCTAAAGACAGGGAGTTGCTGAATTGGAGAAGCTTAGTGGGTCTTTTGTTTCTGTTTTTGTTTTGACACTGTCTTGCTATCTGGCTGCCTAGTATAATAGTGCATATATACCCCAGGATGACTTTAAACTCACTGTGTAGTCCAAGGGTGACCTTGAACTCCTAAAGCTCTTGCCTTTATTTTCTACACTGGTATTATGAGCATGTGCCACCATTCCCCACTCTAACAAGATGTTAAAGCTAACATGGATTTTCGCTTTCTGCGGGTAGTGAAAGAAGAGACTGATCCTTTTTTTGGGGGGGCGGGGGTTGAGACAGGGTTTCTCTGTGTAGCCCGGGCTGTCCTGGAACTCAGAAATCCACCTGCCTCTGCCTCCCAAGTGCTGGAGCCACAGCATTAAAGGCATGCGCCACCACTGCTGGGCGAGAGAGAGGTGGGGATGGGAACTGGAGAAGCCATGGGTCAAGTTGTGTCTCTGTAAGACATTGGTTGGCTTTACCCAACTCTCCCATTCCATTCGTTTTGAAATATGGCTTTCAAATTTAAAATTCTTTAAAACTATGGTTTCTATATCTTTATTAAAATTTAGAAAGTACACAAAGACAAACAACTAGGACTCTTACTAGGAATCATTAAGAACCCGCTCAACGCCGGGTTCACATTTCACATATAAGATCTCATGGTCCGCCTGTCCTTTCCTGAGTCAGTTTTTATGGCTTGTGAGAATAGGGTGCTTTGCGGGGAGAGGCATAGTTGTGTACAGAGGAGGTGGGAATGGCTGTTAGGATCACCAGTCTTGCTGAATAACATTGAATCAGAAGAAACTCCCCATAGAAATGGGGTTGGCCCCCGTTTCAAAAAACCAAAAAAAAAAAAAAAAAAAAAAAAAAAGAAAAAAGAAATGGGGTTGGCATGACCGGGCGGTGGTGGTGCATGTTTTAATCCCAGCACTTGGGAGGCAGAGGCAGGTGGATTTCTGAGTTCGAGAGTTCGAGGCTAGCCTGGTCTACAGAGTGAGTTCCAGGACAGCCAGGGCTACACAGAGAAACCCTGTCTCAAAAAAAAAAAAAAAAACAAAAAAAAAAAAGAAAGAAATGGGGTTGGCATGGTGCTATGCCAACAAACCTTATTTGTCACAGGCCACTTTAGTGTGGGGATGGAGGAATATGTGTTTAAGGAGAAATGCGTGTGTATGTGTTTTTGTGTGTGTGTGCTCACGTGTGTGCACATTAGTACACAGGAGCTCACAGAGGCCAGAGGCATCACATCCCCTGGAGCTGGAGTTGTGTAGTGAGCTGCTTGTGGGAGTCACAGCTAGTTGTAGCTAGGTGAACAGAGAGATGTTCTGTATCCTCCCTCACAGGAACCCACATAGGAACACACACCAAACTAGGGGTTAAATTATACTTTATCGTACAGTTGAGTAAATACGGATCAGAAACTGCAGATATTAGTCTAGATGGGGGAAGGGGATAATGTTGAGATGGTCTCACAGTATAGTCCTGGCCGGGTTTGAACTCAAAGAGATCTGCCTGCTTCCAAGCCCCTCCTCTCTTTACTGACATGGGCTTCCCACCGTGACTTGCTTCTCAGCAGAGGCTCGGACAGAGACAAGTCTTTAAATTCCACCAGATTCAGGCTCTTAAGACACAGGCAGATTATTTCCCAGAATACCCCATGAATGATCCCACTGGCTCTTCACCGGATGCTGCTCCCCTCTGAAACCTCATGAGCCAGGCCTCTGCTGTCCCCATTTCTCTCAGAGTTATTCTCCAGTTTCCCACAGGCAGGACACACTAAACTCTGCCTGTAGTACTCAAAGGCTTTTCTACCCTGAAGTTGCAAACTCTTCCACTTTCCTCAACAAACCAATTCCAAAGAGGTAAGAACTACACAGTTGGGGTTATTATGGCAACAGCCCTAATTCATGACAGTTTTTTTTTTCTTTTCCCATTTGCCATGTTAAAGCACCTTGAAAAAGTCATCTTAAGGAAGAGTTTTATATCTACAAGCATCTTACAAGTGTATGTGTTTTTTCCCATTAGTGATAGACAGTGACTTTTGTGCCAATCTTGGGTAAGTTTGAAAAAAAAAAACTTTTGTGACCTCATAAATATAAATTATTTGCATTTTGAAATGGTTTATCATATCTCAAAATTTTAAGAATTAAAAAAAAAAGGAAGCGTTTTTATTTGGACTCACAGTTTGAGGCCACACACAGTCCAAGGTAGCAGGGAGTCACAGCAGCAAGATCTTGAGGGAACTAGTCACCCTGATGAATGCTTGTATTGGGTTCACTTTCTCTTTTTTATTCATTATGGGACCTCAGACCACAGAGTGGTGTTTCCCATATTAAGGGTTCCTCTCTCAAATAACCTAACAAAGACTAAACACATATATAACCAAATACTTGTTGCCATAGTGATTCTAGATCCTACCAATTGTCAATGAGGATTAACCACAGCACGGAACATGAGTATGACCTTGTAGTCCTGATTCTTCTGTCTCTTCCTCCCTGGTACTGGGGTTATGGGGTGTGCACCATACCCAGCTCCAGACCCTTGGGTTTCCAATGATTCAAGATAATGTCTTCAACTGGCTTCCACACTGTTACTTACGATGTGATTTTTAGTCACTGGGCTTATAAGATGTCTTAGAATGTGTATGGATTAATACTAACACTATTAATCACTGGTGCATGGTATACTCATACTTTAGAGTGTCCTGGTCAGATAAAAATATGTAACACTGGGAGGTGTCCAGATGGCTTACCAGTGACGTTGGTTGCCATGAAGCCTGAAGAAGTGGATTTGGTTCCTGGAACCCATACGGTAGAAAGAGAGAACTGACTGCTACAGGTTGTCTTTTGAGTTCCACATGCATGCAGGGCCATGTGGTGGTGCACACCTCTAATCTCAGCACTCAGGAGACAGACAGAGGCAGGCAAATCTCTGAATTTGAAGCCAGTCTGATCTACATAGTGGGTTCCAGGCCAGTGAATGCTATGTAGTGAGACTCTGTCTCAAAAAATAAGAATAGCCAAGGAGTGGTGGTTTATACCTTTAACCACAGCCCTTGGGGGACAGAGGCCAGCCTGGTCTACAGAGTGAGTTCCAGGACTGGGCTACACAAAGAAACCCTGTCTCAAAACAAAACAAAACAAAAACTTAAAAGAAGCACAACTATGCCAGGCAGTGGTGGCACATGCCTTTAATCCCAGCACTTGGGAGTCAGAGGCAGGCGGATTTCTGAGTTCGAGGCCAGCCTGGTCTACAGAGTGAGTTCCAGGACAGCCAGGGCTACACAGAGAAACTCTGTCTCGAAAAACAAAAAACCAAAACAAAACCAAAAAAAGCACAGCCATATAGGGATCTGGAAAGATGGATCAACAGTTAAGACAACTTGCTACTCTTGTACAGGACCCAGATTTAGTTACAACCATCCGTAATTCTAGTTCCATTCTGTCTGATGCCCTCTTTTGATCTCTTAGGGCATCAGGCAAGCTCATGGAACACATACATGCAGGCACAACACCAATACATAAGAAATACATTGTTAAAAGTTGTAAAAATAAAAAGAAATGTAACATTAGCAGAGGCATTCTGACTTCCTGCTGACCCATATTAGTTTGAGGACGGTTGTATTGAGCAAATGTAGTTAGTGGTATTCTGTTAATGAATATAAGAAAAGATAAGGAAGCTGTGAATGTATTTCAGACAGATGTGGGTCTCTGAGAAAATGACCGGAGTGTGGCCAGTAGAGTTTGCTTCAGTCCCTGAAGCTTTGGAGTCACCTTGCTGATGACAAGCTGAACATTTGTTGAGTCTTCTTTCTTCGACGGGAAGAAGTGAAGCCCCCGAAGCTTGTTCCTGCAATAGGGCTTTCAACCGTGAAGTGGTTTAGACATCGTCATTCATGGACTGATGACCCAGATTGTGACTGGTGTCCAGGATTGAGCCAGCTAGCTTTACTTTTCTGTTACTGTGATAAATGACAAGGCAGCTTATAAAAGGGAGGGTTATGTAGGGCTTATGGTTCCAGAGGAAAGATTCTATGATGGCCAGGTATCATGGCAGCAAGAAGCAGGCATATTGGCTGGAGCAGTAGCTGAGAACACACATCTCTAACCACAAACAGGAAGCAGAGAGGGCTAAGTCAAAAGGGGAAGGGTCCTTTGAAAGAAGTCCACCCCCAGTGATATACTTACTCCAGTAAAGATACAACTCCTAATCTTCCCCAACTAGCTACCAACTTGGTGGCCAAGTATCCAAGTCTTGGTGGCCCAAGACTTATGGGAAGGATCTCATTCAAACCGCACACCCCGGGGGGACCTAGACTCTGAAATTCCAGCTGTAAGATGTATCATTCTGGACTAATGGGTGAGAAAAGGATG